TACATATACATATACATATACATACATATATATATATATATATGCATTGTACATTTATGCTGAAATTCTCACTTATAATATAAATTTGACTTAAAATATTGCCGCATGATCTTCACTCCTTTTCTATAGGATCAACGCAACGATAACATTGGAGGATGTACGCCAGCACCTCGCGCACAGCACCATGTTAACAGCTTTGCCTGTGACTCAATCGTATGTAGATAGTTTTGCACACATACTGGGGAATGTCTACATGGATATGCAGGTTGTTTCAGACCTCTGTATGTATGTTTAAGTTGACAGTCATATTCCTGCCTGTAAATGTGTGAAACGGCTATAAATGTACAGATGTGCGTTTCGAAGTATATGCACGAGTATAAATGTTTTATACAATTCAGCGCGGTTGTTAACATATTCGTTTGTTTGTAGTGTGGTTTGGATGTGTTTTCCGTTTACTTTTGCCATTGTCTCTGGTCCACCTGATAAGCACTTGCACTCGCATTATCCTAAGTTCCGTCTTCATAGTATAAATTGTACTACATGAAAATACATAAGTTCATACGTACATAAACAATATATAATATCTTATTTATGTATGTATTTTGAGATTTTATATATAGTGTTTTATTTATCTATGTTATTAAGTGTGACTTTATAGGCATTTTTATATCAGATACGTATACGTATGGGTATTTGTATATGGTTTTGTACTACTCTGTACTGTCTCAGTATGCTCGATTGGTTTTGATATACATCGACTAGTAGTCGATGCTAGTGTTGTTTTGTACGATGGCGCCTTGTGTTTTTATTTCACGTCTTTGCCTAGACGCATTCTAATTGATATTCATATTTTTTTCTGTTGCATCCATGTCATATGTACTCATTTTTAATAGTGCCGTATATATATTCTAATCTTAGTTATCGCCCACCGGTAGACTTGTCTTACATTGTCAAATTGAGATTATAGGGTAACATTGTCATATAGATGCTAATAAACAGTGCAAAATAGATCTTCATATGAGCGAACTCACACGAAATGACTCCTTCTAAACATTGTCTTATATAGAGAGCGAGCGGAAGAAGACCAGGTGATCATGATCGACGAAACAACCGCTAAAGTGATTGCTGCGGAAAAACCAGTAAGCGCTTTCGACGGCACCATCCGCTCTAGGTAAGGTCACATAAAATGAGAATGGACTGTTCCTGCGATACGTTAAACTAAATAAAAAGTAGTAGTTATATTCTTATATATGCATGTATTAGTTCCACTCATTGTGAAGTGTATCATGTTTTGTACTTGTTGTGAATTCTAAACGCTACCGCTTGTCTTTCAGTTTGTAGGTGAAAAGTATGTATGCGTGCGTGTGCGTGTGTGTGCACGTGTCATCTACGTACGACTTTTCTGTGCACGAATCACGTATTCATATGTGACTTTGTATGGCATCGCTATATTATATTTCGTGTCTGTAGAAGACAACTCTGCTGTTTGCTAGCCGATCAGGTGCCGCTTTATATCCGAAATATACCTGATAAAGCTACACTTGTGGTTCATTGGTCATTAATATATGAGATGCTGACCCCTGTCCCTCTTCGTTATCGCCCTGTACAGAGTTACCATGGGCGAATTAACCCGCAAGCCGTCGAAGAAGTGGGGCAAGCTCCTTTCCCTATTCACATCGCATCCAAATGTCGATCTCACAGGTATGTAATATGAGGTCTGGTGAAATTTAATGTGAATGTGTGAGCCTTTGGTTCTGATTATTTATCTGTATGCGTTCGTATGCAACTGTCTAACAAGTGGACCGTTCAACACGTATTCTTGATCGGTATCACATGTACGTTGACAGTATACAGCACACATACCTGTGCACAATCAAGACCACTTACAATTGCATAGAGCATGCGCGAGGTAAAGGTATATGTAGCTGCTCATGCACGTGTAGCTATGCATACGTAGCCAGCTTTATACTCTGGTATGCCGTATTCCGCTTACTGTCCAGTAGAATTAGTTATTTAAACTTGATCTTACTTCGCATGCCATACTGACGAATGTATTAAATTTTTCAATTTTAACCCGATCCCACTTATCACATAGCCAATATTAATACCAAGACGTTCCTATTCCGAATACTATACAGCCGAATGTATTACTGTGGGTCGTCATTGGCGGTGTGTGGTGCAGTTGCTTGATCCCAATGTGAGCCGTTTGTTTTGTCGTCTGGTGCACGAGAACGACTCCGTGGGCATTGAATCACTCAGTCGCAACGGCAAGCTGTTTGTCAACAATTCTCAGGTCATGCCGTATACTGGGAGAAAGTAAGTT